GTTAAAATATTTCTCAAACGGCAAAGATTGTTAGCTGATATCATAACGTGACGTTTGACAGAAGAGATGGTTCACAAGATAATTGTTCGTGCGTGATAGAGGTGGTGCAGCTGTTCAACTGCGTTTGCCTAGCAGGTGTCGAAATGAATGGCATCGTTGCATAGAACGACGGTATCTCTTAAGTAATTTGAACTTATTTGCTTTGTGTCCTAACGGGCAAAAGGCACACTAAAGTACAATTCGGTCAAGACTGAACCTAGATGCCTTTAAAAGTGAATTTCAATAACTTTCATGTCTTTGACAAAAGAATTGGAAGCGGCTCCTTAACGTTAGCTCGCACGATTCGTTCCTTTGTAAAGTATCCAGACATCACTGCAATATCCCCTCCTTAGTCGTATCCATCCCTGATCATCTGCATAATCAATCGCGCAAGGCTGCTCAATTGTGCTATGTAGCGAGAATTCAAGCCGAAATTCAAGTCACTGTGTCTTCAGTACGACTCTACACCATTAATGGAGTTTTGCCGTCATGTTCCTGACGTGGTACGTAAGTTGTATAGCCTATCTAACCAGATGCAACGATTATGAAACGGTTTATTGCAAAGGTCAGAGTTCATTGACTCATCGGTTCTAATTCTGACCTCGCGTATTGATTGTATTGGGGGTGTGATGATGATGAAGATGACGATTATGACAGTGCATACGTGGGACACCCAATTCCGGCAATAACAGTACGATGAAATAGCGAACTGCTTTGACAAAACAGGGCATTTCTGCAAAAAAAAGAAATTTAATTCATCATAACCATCCGTAGTAACTTCTTGCTGCAGCGTCATGCAGATCATAAATCTGTGGAATGCGAGCGCGAGTGACAGAATTTTCCTACTGCTATGAAATGCCATTTAATCAATAAAGCTGGAGGCTCCAGTTCTGTGGCAGTAAATTTTAGTGACGTGGGTGCATTGGGAATCCGATATGTAAACTGCATATGCCTTTATTTCGCATCTGAATTTCTCAGGTGAAAAAACACCTTGACAATACGTACGATTAAAGGATGCAGACAGTAGGATGGAGTAAAGCGTAGCGTGGAATATCAGCGATAAACGGAAGAACAGACGACTCGCGGCACAGTGAGGTTGTCATACGTGCAATCCCCTCACAAGATCTGGTCTTCTGTGATATTTTAGATAGCCATACGCGAGCCGCTGGTTCCTCTTTACTCTGTAGACTCGTCTACGAGGTTAGAGAAATATTTCATCTGATGTCTTGCACCGAGTTTCGCAGAGAGGCCGGAGAACTTGGCCGCAAACTTTTCTCAGCAACAAACATGTACATATCTGAGTCGCCGAATAAGTTGTGGTTTGAAACGATCGTCGAGTCACGTCTGAGTTAGCATGCGAACTGCATTACACTTTGGCATCGCTGCAAGTCGCTCGCCTAGGACCCCAGTGTGTCGCTTCGCTCGGACGACCGAGTATTTGTCAGCCAGCCAGCTTGCATCGTGGAAATGGCAGGTCGTCGGCGGCCATGTTTGCTCAGCTTTCTCGCTACTTCCCTGATAACGTCTGAACGGTAACGGGCAGGACTTTTTACCACCTGGTTGTCGTGAGCTACTTCGTTGGTGACTAAGTTAGCAACAGAACATCAAACAGCCCGAGAGGATTAGCTTAACTTTTGAAGTGCAGACAGAGGCGTAGTCGATATGTGTCTAAAGTGTGTTTAAAGTGAACAGCAACGGTAAGTAACAGGAAGAATTGCTCAAGGAGGAATATTGGTGAACCTTATTGACGCCTACGATCTCAGATTCACATACGCGGACAACGCGTATGGCGAGGTTGAGTGAGGTTATGCTTTTTTTGGTTATGCTACTCAGGCACTCGACTTTCTTCCTTCGAGGTTGATGAATGAGTACCATTCTGTGGAAAGTAAGCAGAAACAACCCGCTATGTTTACCACACAGCTGTAGATTCCATTTTTGAAATGATGCACTCCCGGCTGATGGCACACAAATGAAGATCGCTGCCGCACTGCAC